AATGGCCATTTATAGGTAGAATCAGCATCATGAAAGGAACTAGCTGATGACATGAAAATTCGAATGGTAGGATGGCCACCCACTTTAATTTTTGAAAATGTAAATTTGTTACAGATATGGAACCACAATAAAATTGTACTCAAAAATATTTAATGTTACAAAATTTTCCACAATTTTCCTAATTTTTTCCAAATGTTACAGTTTCTGATAATATTTTCCGAATAATTTCCATCCATTATGAATACCTCTCCACAAACGGGACCAACTTACTCCACATGTCCTGCTGGTACTCATCCACCCAATCGCCATGACCTCCGGGATACTTGCTAAATTCGCTGGGGACCCCCAAGCGGGCCAACTTGTCCTGAATAATGCCCATCTGACTATTCGGCACGAAGATGTCGGTATCTCCATAAAATCCGATCGTTGGTGGAGAATTCTCCGTGGCGTAGATGATAGGACTAGTTTCGTTCCACTTTTCGGGATTCTGCTGACAATTATACGGTCCGACAAGTGGTAAAAGTATGGGCCTGTAAATAATATTGTTGCAATAGGGAGGATCCACAAAATCGACGAGGCCGACATGATCGACAATAATTTTGATGTCTCTCGCCTCACGGTCCCACCAATACGCGTATAACATGGCCAGCTGAGCTCCGGCGGAATTACCGAACAGCGTGAAAGACAAGTTTGCCGTGAAGCTCGATTTCAGAAAGGCGATGGCTAGTTGGATATCTTCCAGTGGGTAAACGTCCATAAGGGGGGGTGTGGACGTGTCCACAGGCCGGACCGGAGGTCCGGCCGTACCGGGATTGGCAAAAATAGTACATGTAAACATAAAATAACTAATAAGATAACATAAATAAGATAACATAAAATAGATAAATAGGATATTTGAAATTGATTTGACTTTAGAATTTCGGAAATAAAATAAATACATGAATATTTTAGAAACAATTTGATCCTTTCATGAATTTCTTAAAGAGAAGCACACATGTTGTAAAACTCTACCCGAAAACTAATGGATACGGATTCTCCGATAAATATTTCCATACAAAAACTATGCAAAATCGTGACTGGTTATTATATTGCGCCACCACTAACAGTCTATTTTGTAGCCTGTGGGATTCATCGGCAAGTTCATTATCATGGAAAAACTACAGGAACGCCCAATCTGGATTCAATGGATTTAAGAATCAATATCTAAGAATAATGTCACATGAAGAAACTGCGGCTCATTTTCGTTCAGTGCTAAAGTGGAGGGAATATTCAACTCTTCTAGAAAAATCAAGACTATTAGATTCTTCTTTGCAAAAAGAAATGGATGCTGAGATATCGTTCTGGATCGACGTATTAACCTCAATTCTGGATGCCGTTTTATTTCTCGCGAAAAATAAATTACCATTCGTAGGATCTTCAAAAGATATCAATTCATCTAATTGTGGGAATTTTCTGGCGCTGATCAAGTACACAGCAAAATACAACCCAGTCTTAGCCCTTCATATTGCAAGGCTCAAAAAAGGATCAGTAAGTTATTTGTCTCCATATATTCAAAACGAATTCATCACTAACGCCGGAGAATCATTACGAAAATCAATTTACGAAGAGCAACGCAAATTCTATGCCATTATGTTCGACGCCACACCTGATGTCTCGAAAAAAGAACAAGTTTCCCAAATAATTCGTACAGTTCATTCAGATTCAAACGACACCATCATTGAAAAATCTTTTATTGATTTCATTCATTACGAAGGCAAGACCGGTCTAGAAATTTATGACATGATTTCTAAAAAATTGGAGGATGATGGACTAAATATTTTGGAATGTCGGGCTCAAGTTTACGATAACGCCAGCAGTATGTCAGGATTATACCAAGGAGTTCAGGCTCGAATTAAGGAAGTTAACCCTTTGGCAGAATATATCCCATGTATTCCTCACTCGCTGAATCTTGTTGGACAAAATTCTATGCAGAAGGTCTTGGTAGCAGTTCTTTTACTTGGCCAGGTACAAAATATATATTTGTTTTTCTCGACATCCACCAGTCGATGGAATTTATTGAAGAAGTACGTAACCCGGACCCCCAAAAACCAAAACGCAACTCGCTGGTCTTCCAAATCTGACGCAGTCCACGTTCTTTTGGATCAATTCTCGGGGAGTAATTTCGTGTCTCCAATTTATGATTGACTCGGATAATCTGAATATGCAGACCGTCGCAGGCGCCAATAGTCGTTACAACGACATCTGCAACCACCGTTTTGCTCTCGGCCTAGTAATTTGGGACAAAATCCTTTATCGAATAAATATTTGTAGCAAAGCTGTCCAGGCGGTTTCGTGCAACGTAGATTCGGCAACCAAACATCTTCAATCATTGCTTGACGGGCTAAAAGAATTCAAGACAGACGGATGGGCAACATGTGTGAAAATAGCCAGACAGAAATGTGAAGAAATGGAAATCGAATTAGAATCAGGATTTCAATACAGAACCACACGGAACACCATCCCTGCTAGATATCGCGATCACGACGCACATAATTTAGCTCCATTAACAAATGTCGAAAAATTCAAGGTCGAGTTTTTTTAAAAGATAATGGCGGCATTGGTGTAAGAATTTCAAAAACGATTCAGTGGGACAAGTATGCTCAAATTTCCAATTTCTCTGGGGAAAAACATTAAGTGAGACGAAAGAAGATGGTTTTGGAGAATATGTCCAGATCTCAAAAATACCCCCAAGATTTGTCACTTAACCGACTATTATGCGAAGTTTCATTTTTAAAATCTGAAGTTTCGACGTTTATACCTGGAGACAAACAACTTCAAAATTGTACTGCTTTGGACGTTCTGAAAATTCTGTCTGAGAATAATCTGAGGTCGCAGTTCGAGAATTGTCATACAGCCTTACGTATTTTCTTGATGTTTCCAGTTAGCGTGGCGTCGAACGAACGACCCTTCTCGAAATTGAAATTGATAAAAAATTACCTACGCTCAACAATGTCTCAGGATCGACTAAGCAATCTGTCAATTTTATCGATTGAAAGCGAACGAGCGGAAAAGTTATCCTTCAAGGAAATAATTAGCGAGTTTGCAAGAAATAAATGTAGGCGAATCAAATTGTCAACATCAGAAATGCAGGAAACGGGTGGCGATACATTCAATTAGTTGGATTTGGTGAAGGATAAATAACTTTTTTTATTGCTATTGAATTATTAGTTTTAGTAAAATTAATCCATTAAAAACTATGCTTTAAAAGTCTGGAAAAATTCTTATGAAACGTATAAAATTGTATTTAACTTTACATTTCACATCTTACTTGTAGTAAAAGAAATAATTCAGAACCTACTCACTTGATATTTGCATTTCTTGAAAAAAATGGTCAATAAATAAAAAATGTAAACATACCAACCAGCCGTACTTTTCTGGATTCCACAGGCCGGACAAAACCTAGAATACCCGCTGATATCTTCGAGTTGTTTGGGATAACCTGGGCTGGCGGCGGACCCTGCAAAAATTTAAAAATTAAAATTAAAATTAAGGATGAACTACCGATAAATAGCCCGACTAGCGGGATTAAATTGGAGGGATTAAATTAGCGGGATTTTAGATGGTTATCAATTCTACTCCATAAGTGGTCATTTTAAAATTTGCATTTAAAATCGTCTGTAAAATATATATCAATTTAGAAGGTATGGCGGTGAAAGAATATTTTTGTCGTATTAAATTCTTACCTAGTCGATAATTCATATTCGCTACGACAAAGTTGGGTAAAACCTCCCGCAAAATCGGGACTGACGCGAAATCCTCCTTATCACCGGCTCCCCAGGCTGCGCCGTGTAATAGTACGATGACCTTTTCCACCCTGGTCGATTCATTTTTGGGGAGATACAAATCCAGTATCTGCTCCGCATCCGGACCATAAGGCACATTTGGTAGGATACGAACTAAAATGTAAATTTAAAATATAGTATACCCTTAGTTTTAATATTTTTTTCAAAATTACCGCTCCTTTCGCAAATCACGGCAGAAACCGCGACGACCAACATTATTGCGGTAAACTTGTCCATAATTACTCTACCTTGACCGCAAATAATTGGCAACTGAATAAATTATGTTGAGACAATCCGTATTTATGGACAACAAATTCCCCCACTTGATAATTGGTTGGACCTAGTGGGCTGATTATTATCATGAAGCAAAAGCATGTCCCGTAGATCAAATCTTGTTCTATTTTAAGTGGAATTTTAATTATTGCCAAATACATACACGTGCACAATTACCTCGCTATAAATGGGACAAAACTAACTTAAATATGAAATTTTGACATTTCATCTTGTCGCAATAAAGTGACATGATATGAGTTCAAACTCATCAGGTGATTACTTGAGTTGAGACGTGAGTTAATATTGTGTCTCTATCACTTCACCTCATTTATACCAATAAACCTAATCAGATATAGGTGATCATCTGAATTCATCCACTTGTCCAAGAGACACTTCCGCGGTGCCTGAAAGTTTTTTGCATTTAGTTATCTCATTACGCGGACATGAATTCGACAGGTGTGCACGTTAATTAACACTTGAGTCACAGGTGTGTCTATGTTTCCAAGTTGATACAATGTGGAATCGATTGCATGTAAAAAAAAACTCAACTTATGCTTTTCCGATAACATTTCTGGCAGCCCCGTAGCGATGCCGGTTTTAAGTGGAGACCAGAATCCAGGCCGGACGGCCCGAAGGGCCGTACCGGACTGCGCTATGCACTAGATAAAATTTGAATTGCCTCTATTATACGAGTCGTATAATCGAAACTCATTTTTAAAATCAAGAATCGTTTTAATCAAGCTTCTGATTTTCATTTTTACCATCAATGAAAAGCCTGCATATTGGGTTGCCCCAGCAACCACCTTTTACCGCGAAGTAATCCACAGTAGGTTGGGAAATCAGATTCACATGTGATTAAACTGAAAGAAAAAATATTTATTTTATAACAAATTTTTACAATTCGAAATGGGGCGGCCATCGAATCCTAACCTCAAACCTATTGCCCACCGGAAGGAAGAAAGTGGATTTCAGAAGGCGAAGAAGAGAAAGGAGATCGCTCTAAAAAATCAGAAGATGGCTGCTAATGCATCAAAATATTTTAAAATTGACCCAGCGAAGGATAATGAGGTCGCACAAGGTATACAGATAACTATTTATTTCCGTGTTATACTTATAACCAATAAGCCAACTTTACTTCAGTAAACAATATATTTAACAATGACCAATATTTATTTTAGATAATCAGCCAGCTGTACGCGTGCAAGAAGATCAAATTAATAATTTGCACTTACTTCAAAATATCAATGTTGCAACATCGTCCTTGGATACAGGTAGGGAACATCCCGAAAGTGCAAAGTATTAAATTTGTACGATAACAAGTTTTTTTAATAATTCCAACCAGACTCTTTATCATGTGAACTGGAGAATTCAATTTCCATCGTTCAGGAGAAAAACGTGAATGACTTGGGACTTGAAATAAATTCGCAAATTTGTCCGAACTACATGCTATGTTAAACGTGCCAAAAAAATCAGCAAGTATCGAGCAAGGTAATTTACGATTAGAAAGGGACATTAAATATTTATTCTATAACTTATGTTTAACACGATTTCTTATTTATGTACAGCTGAGAATAATACAGAATGTGAGGTGAAAATTATATTCTCAGATCCCAGCACGTCCCAATTCCACTTACACCTTTGCAGAAGTCGAAAATACTTGCACAAGGTCCAGTTCAACTTCAAAGAAAAGAATATCAAAGGCGGAATAATCACGCATTTAATCCGAATCAATTCAAATTTGGGGAGATAACAAGAAACTGCAGCACTTCTAACAGTTTATTTTGTTTTAACTGTTGCTTATTCGGATCACTCCATTCATCAGTCTCCAACTCACCGTGGGGAAATTATGGGCCAGGAAATGTTGGATTTTGTGATTTCGTTCATCAAAGTCGTGGAATCAAAACACATGAAGAGAGTCAGAATCATTTCCAGTCAACAATAAAATGGTGCAAATTTTTAAAAGATTTCAAGGATGGAAAACTTATTGACCAAACCCTGCAGGACAAGCTACATCAGGAAATCGGTTTTTGGAGAAAAGTGCTGCTTAGTATGATTGAGGTCATTGTTTTTCTGGCGAAGAACAACTTGCCATTTAAAGGATCGTCTTCGAATATTAAGGACCAAGATTGCGGTTTATTTCTCTCGCTGATTGAATTATTAAGCAAACATAACCCCACTTTGGCAATTCACATCAATCGTCTCCAGCATGGGAAAGTGCATTACATGTCACCGCAAATTCAGAACGAATTTATTACTATTGCTGGATCGGCTGTCCGTGATTCTATCCTGCAAAATATTTAAAATAGTAAATACTTCTCTCTACTACTTGATTCCACTCCCGACGTGGCACACCATGAACAGATTAGTTGTATTATTCGAACAGTTTCTTTATCAGAGGTTGGTTCCGAAGTGGTGGAAAACTTTCTTGGATTTATCCGATTTGACGGTAAAACTGGTGAAGAAATCACCGAAATGATTATTACCCAGCTCAAGCAGGATAGAATTGACATCAAGAAATGCCGTGGTCAGGGATATGAAAATGGTAGTAACATGTCAGGAATTTACAAAGGTGTTCAAGCAAGAATTAAACTTATCAACCCGATGGCAACCTACATTCCATGTGCAGCACATTCCCTTAACCTTGTTGGCAAGAATGCCGCTTCGAAATCTGCATCCGCGAAATTAATTCTTGGACAAGTTCAAAATTTATACGTATTCTTCTCATCTTCAACCATTCGCTGGTCGGCTATGAAGAAATTTTGTAAGTTAACATTGAAATCTCAAAGCAACACTCGGTGGTCAAGCAAGGCCTTAGCAATGAGATGCATTTATGAGGAATTTGATGGAATATGTGAAGCTTTGTTGGAGTTAGCTCATTCCGATCAAGTGAATGCTCAAACGGTTGCCGAAGCTATAGCTCACTTCAAACAAATTTTTAACTTTAAATTTCTCCTGGGAATTACAATTTGGAGCAAAATTCTTTCAAGCATTAATGTAGCAAATGAAGCTTTACAGGAGAAGGCATGTACCATCGAAAGAGCAGCTCACCATTTGCAGGGATTGCTTAATTGGTTGCAGGAATTTCAAACTTGTGGATACAACAAGTCGCTTGAAGTAGCAAAGTCTAAAGCGTTGCAGCTTGGCGTCGACGAAAAATCGGGATTTGAATATAGAGCAACCAGAAATATTCGACCGATACGTTTCCGGATAGAAGCTGAGACTTGCGACCAGTCCCCGCTGTCTAATGAAGATAAATTTAACCATGATTTTTTTTGACAAGTTGGTGGCGGAACTAATTGAAGAGTACAAAAATCGGTTTGAAAATATTCAAAAGGCAGTGACCGATTTCGGATTTTTGTGGGGTGCTCAATAATGCCAACTCAACGCTGATTCTAAAGTGAAATCGGTAAAAGATTTAGTAAATAAATACGAGCAGGACTTTGACGGCGTGCAGTTTGCAAATGAAATGGAACATTTTAGAAGCGCTATCGAACCATTCTTAGAGCACGGAAAATCTTTGGAGAAAACTAATGCATTGGATATTCTTAACATCTTATTCTGCAATGGACTCCAGTATCAATTTGCTAATACTTGTTCTGCTTTGACTTTATTCTTGACTCTGCCTTTTACTGTTGCTTCCAATGAGAGAGCATTCTCGAAGCTAAAAATTATCAAAAACTATCTACGATCATCTATGGCTCAAGATAGATTATCGAATCTTTGTATTTTAGCTATTGAACATAAGTACACAGAAAATATGTCATATGATGCAATTGTAGACGAGTTCGCAATTTCGAAATGTCGTAAAGTATGTATTTAACTTTCAGTTGTCTGGTCATCTCCGGTTATAAAATAAATTTAACATAAGCGTTACTCATTTTGTAGCAGATATTATTTAAACATGGAAAAGAAAATTACAAATTATCCTTATTTCAATTTACTCAACCTAAATGCACTAATTCATTAATTCCATTAATTTTTACATACAATTGTTTGGTAGGCATCATATATTTAAAAAATTAAATCTATCTAGTATATACATACTATAGGAGCCGTACCTTAGGTAAAATCCAGGCCGGACTTTGGCTCGCTACGGGGCTGATTTCTGGGCTGAGTGCTTAAAAAACTAACCTAATTAACCTACATTTCGTCGCATATTTAAAATAAAAATATCTCGTCCCGCTCTTGTCCGGCTGGAAGAGATCCCAATATTGCAGCCACATTACCACGCTGCACAGCAATACTCATTCTCTGAAGGAGGAAAGATGTTGCCCTCTTCTCCTCCGTGATCTCGGTGATTCTTGATCCGATTTCCTTGATAAGGGACAGGCCCTCCTTGCCCCATACTCCCGTCGTCTCAATGGCTACGGGGACAAAGAGGAACCTGTCCTGTAGTAGTTCATATTTCTAGGAATAAGTTAAAACTTTGGAGAGAAAACCTTACAAAAGTAACTCGCCTCAAATTGAACCTGGATGTGAGATTCATGCTAAATTGAAAATTAGTAATAAATACAAGATGGTAAAATATATAATTGCATCATTGAATAGTGTTCATTATTTTCCAAAATATTAGTAAAATTGCCTCCAATTTTAATGCCCAAAAGCAGATGACGATGAGAAAGAAGTAAATAAAAAAGTGACCAAATTTTATAACAATTTGCATTAGCCGTGCTTTTTTACATATGCAATTTATTACTTTGGCTACTTAGACTGGGTGCATTCTTGCTCGACCCCCAAAAAAATTGCCTAATAATGCAAATGTAATAATTTATTATACATATTAAAGCAAAAACTTGTAACGTCTTGCATCAGCCGTTTTCCACGTATTCTTATCGACGTTTTTTAATCAAACTTCAACTTCAAATTCCCCGGCGACAAAAAAGGATCGAAAATAGTTTACAGCAAACGGTTCCCCAAGACCATACTTTCTTGCAAATGCGCGATAATCAAAATTTATCCGTGCCAAATTAGGTCCACTGGGATGTCTCAGTAAATGCGATTTTTCCACCGGAGGGTTGCTCATATACGAGGAACACGAATCGATGGATGCCCATTTCTGAAATTAATTGAAATAATTTTATTCTCAACAAATTCGAAAATTCTACTTAAATTTTATTCACCTTCCGTCAGCCGTGGTCCGAAATACTCTGCCAAAACTGTTCCACTCCGCCAAGAATTGTCCTTCCCACCCTTAATATTTCCCACCATCCAGTGATTTACGGGGCTAGTTGTAGGATTTTCCGGCGTTGGTCCGTCCAAATCTAAATTAACTCATTATCAGTGATTATCCCTCCATCAAAGTAAAGAATAAATAATACCTAGCATCATCAACACGTAGAATTGCCCTGGCTTATCTTCTCTCCAACGGAGGGAGGTCGGAGTATTGTTGAGTTGCAGTGGAGTTATCGTGTTTCCAAAATTAATCGGGATCCCGCCATAGTACTCACCGCTTAACTTGGAGGGGGGAAGTCGGTCTGGAATGTATTACAATACGACAGGTTTTATTAAAAAGAATTATCACATTGGCAGAGCTGATACCTACCAATCACTTCAGGGATATGGGCCAATAATGGGTCCTCGTATTCCATTTCGCATCTCACCCCAAGAATTAGTATGGCTAGTAGACCCCATTGAAAGGCTCGCTTAAGGAGAAATAAATTATATTTTTTATCGGGATTAATAAATTCAAAGAAAATTTTGAAAACGTACTGGAAACTTTTCCATGTTGCATAGGAGTTGAGTTGTAAATTTAATCAGATTAGCTGGATAAGGTTGAAATAATGTTGCGACGACTATTTATCTCGTTCCACAACATAAATTTCACTGAATTTGGCCAACTACCAATTCGTGAACTCCACATCCCTCAACTATTTTACTTACCAAGTAGAGTGACGTCAATGGATGAAAGTGGATAACAAGTTATTATACGTTTCACTGAACAAGCTATGCCTCACTCTCCTAACGTTCATCAATCCTGAAAGTGATGAATTAATTATCCAGTCTAATAATATAGAATTTCTGTATAATTACTATATATTCAATAACTGCATAAATATTCTTTGGTAATCAAAAATTCTGCATCCACACCAGTAATAATTTCTCCACTTGCAATATTTTCATTCATTTTTCTAGTCCCTGCTCAATATTTCAGAAGGAAAAAGATTTTTTGAAATGGCCGCTCCCTCCAAACCGCATTCGATTACTAAAGGTTTTAGTAATTATTCGAGGATCACGTATTTATAATTAAAATTTAATATTTTTACTAATAAAACACCAATACTTTTAGCCCCGAGCTATCAAGAAGTGCCGCTCATAGTGATTCCTCGCCAAATAGTGCCACTTCCGGCCGAATTCTCCTCCATCCCGATGAAATTAACGTGCAACGTGTGCCACACAGAGATCTGGACAGCCACGGAGGAAAAATGCAACCTAATGCTGCTGCTAAATGCTGCTGCATTTTGCAAGTGCTAATAAATTCTAAGTTAAATTTTAATTATTTTCGACTCTAAACTAAGTACCGCATGCAGGTGGGGCGTTTGTGCGTTGTGCTGTTGTCAAGACGTGGAGCACAAGTGTCCGAACTGCAACGCTTTTCTGGGCAAGTACAGTGCGTCCGGGTAATAGAAAAATTTAAGGACGTTGCAAATTCTGCCATTTCTTGAAGTTATTTCCAACTATAATGGATAAAATTTAAGGGACTCAATAAATATGTCAGTCTTTAATTGATCACTTTTAGAAAGAATCATCCAATTTTAATTACTACAACTGTTTTCGTTTTATACACGTCATCACAATTTAATGCACACATACTTTCCCATAAAGATCTGACAGAAAACGTTTTTGCACGTTGACCATATTAACCATTATATAAAATTCTTTTACAAAAAAGGACTCTTAGGTTCGGCATCGTGGTAAAAAGTGGAAAACAAGTTTATCTTGGATAACAACTTTACCTTAATATTTATTATAATTTGCGATTCCTGCACTATTTACTGAACCGCGGGCCATTTTTTAGCCGAACTGCTTTTATGCGGACAATCGATTATATAAATCTTCAACGGTTGGATCGGAAGAAACTTTGCCCAGATTGTTTTAGGATTCGAAACTAGTATTGAAGTACTAAAAAAATTATTACCGTAACTCGATTTCATTGCCTTTACAATTATTTATTGCAATTATTATTAAGCTTGCAGATAAGTTGTTAAGCTATCATCATACAATATATGTACTTAATTTAAACGTATGAAAGGATTGGCCCGCGGTTCAGCAAATAGTGCAGGAATCGCAAATTATAATAAATATTAAGGTAAAGTTGTTATCCAAGATAAACTTGTTTTCCACTTTTTACCGCGATGCCGAACCTAAGAGTCCTTTTTTGTAAAAGAATTTTATTTTACAGTTTTTATTCGGATCTAATTTATTTTATATCACACTCTAATCGCATAAAGTATTCATTTACAGTTTACGGATTAATTTAATCCTAATGTCTACAATTTATTTAATCCTATAGTAATCATGATAGTATTTTGATTAGGGATATTTATCGCTAATCGTAATCCACTATCCCACGGTTGCTCGAATTAATCCTTAATTTTAATCCAGAATCCCAATATTAATCTACGATCCCCAGGTATTGTTTCGTAACAGGAATTTTTTAAGTTGTCAAATATGTACCCGAATTTGGGTAAAAAATATATTGGTTAGTGTAGGTATTTAATCAAATTTAATATTTAGTGTATGAAATTGGAAAAAATTCCACATTCCAAAATAAGGAGAACGGCAGAGCGAAAAAATAAATTTTCCCTCTTTCTAAACTTCTCTGTACAGCTTTGCATAGCCCGAACAAAGTGTGACTTCCGATGATATTACATTCAGTTCTCTATTAAATTGTCCGATTACTCTTTGCATTAAAAAGCATCAATTTGTTGCAATGGGTCATTCCTGTAGAAAAATTTACAAATTATACATACATCGTATTATTTCATGACAAGTCATTACGGGCGTCAATACCGAATTTCGGCATTCTATGATAAACTCTGAAAATCATTGGGGGTTACTCCATAGGGTACCTCTGGGTGAAAATTTTAACCCAGAGGTAATATTTTCGCTGAAAATATTTCCAATTTAATTTCATATTCTATTATTAAAAACCACCAGAGATTTAGCTTCCAAATTTACAGTTTCTAGGAGCATATTTTAAACGCGGTATGGGTCACCCCAGTGGGGTGACCCCACCCGGTCCCATCAGTTGAAAAATTTTCAATTTTAACCTTCATTTCCGAATTCCTACCTCCACTAGGACCGTCATACCGAGTTTCAGCCTGTTACGACATTTCGAATATTTTGCTCCAAAAGCCAAAAAACTAAGGGTCTCTCCTTTGCTTTTAAATTTGCACACCACTGATATGACCCCACCGGTCCAAATCTTTTTGATCAAACCTATCTTCGAAGTCGGTCGTCGCATTGCCCAGAAACATGTTTCTGCAAAATTTCATCCAAATCAGTCAATCCGTTCAAAACTTATTGTGACACAGACGACGGATGGACAGACAGACAACATGGGTGCAAAAGCACTTAGTTCGGCTAAAACACATAAAATTAACTAGATTTTTTAGTTTGCAAATTTTTCATATTTGCGATGATTAAAAAAATTCGTAAGGAAGTATATCCACCAAATTATTCACACTGGACTACGTATGTGGTGAATTTAATTTTTTTAGACTACCTGATCGACATATACATGTACGCATGAATATTGTCGCCAGGTGTGCTGCAAGGTCGTAGAGTCAAAGGTCGGCAAATAATTGCTTCTCCTCCAAATGCCTCCTCCCTCTCTGGCTACATGAAAATCCCCGTGAAATTGTAAATATATTCATGTTTTGGGCCAGAATCTGGTGGCTCGAAATTTTCTGTTTAATATCTGGTGACCAGATATTAAATATGCAAAATTATTTTGCAAAAAGTCGCCAAATAATTTTTTGACCACCCCCACAATATAAGGGGGTGTGGTGGTAACTTTGACAAAAATTCGTTCATTTTTGATGATGTGAAAGTTAAAAAAAGTTGCAAAAATATAAACCCAAGGAGATTCGAACTCTAGCCTTCCTGCCCAGCAGGCGGAGCGTCTGCCACTATGTCACTCATACAATTGCTTTTAGATGGCCCGGTCATTTGGCTGTAGTTACTATTAGTAATTACATCTGGAACTGGGCGCTATACTCAATGGCTGTCTCATGTCACCCAGGCTTTCATGTTATTAGTAATAACCTCGACTTGGCGCACACCCCCTGAATAACGCCACGTATCGTGTGACCTGGGCACACCCCCTGGATGACGCCACGTGTCGCGTGACCTGGGCACACCCCCTGGATGACGCCACGTGTCGTGTGACCTGGGCACACCCCCTGAATATCGCCACGTGTCGCGTGACCTGGGCACACCCCCTGGATGACGCCACCCTTCGTGTGACCTGGGCACACCCCCTGGATGACGCCACATGTCGTGTGACCTGGGCACACCCCCTGGATGACGCCACGTGTCGTGTGACCTGGGCACACCCCCTGGATGACGCCACGTGTCGTGTGACCTGGGCACACCCCCTGAATATCGCCACGTGTCGCGTGACCTGGGCACACCCCCTGAATACCGCCACGTGTCGTGTGACCTGGGCACACCCCCTGAATAACACCACGTGTCGTGTGACCTGGGCACACCCCCTGAATACCGCCACGTGTCGTGTGACCTGGGCACACCCCCTGAATAACACCACGTGTCGTGTGACTACGACACGCCTATTATACTTTACCATAACGTTACCATGACGTCTGGACCATTAACCTTTTACGTTTGCGTAACGTTCTTGAGTGATGCGTAACGTTCGCTTGAGTGATGCGTAACGTTTACATAACGATTTCCGAACGTTATGTGTACGAATCATTAGCCTTGTATCCGATTATTGTAGCCATTATTTTGACTTGACATTACTATATTGTAGCCATTCACTTAATGGAATCGATTTTAAATTCTAAGTGACCTCGACACACATATTGAGTTTCACCACAAAACGTGTGACTAAAACGCACACCGCAATTGTGCCCGCTAGCGGGCACTTAAAACAGACTAGTATCACAGGAAAGGAGGGGAGAATCTATTGGTAGGTGAATCGCCTCCAAGTGCACCTTCAAATGACGCGCCAGGCCAAATTTCCTCTTGCAAATTGTGCATTGATGATTCTTCTGGTTTTCATGAAAAGTCTGGATGTGGTGGTTCAGGCCAGTTTTGGTGAAGAAAATCTGAGGACAGATATTGCACTTAAACACTGGGCGCAAGGATTTCTCCATGTGAACAAACTAGAAATTATATAAACAAGTTAGATTAGATTGAATATTTTTTAGTGTAAATTTACACACGATTAAAACCCACGCTTTTCATTTTTGCACAAAAATAAGAAAAATAAAATCAAGGTTAACTTTACCTCGTGATTTTTCAAGTGATCTTTTTTTGCCAATCTCTTCCCACAACTGGAACACTGGTAGGACTTTTCTTTGGTGTGCGTGGCAATGTGGGTGTGAAGGTTTTCTTTTCGTTTGAATTCTTTCCCGCATAAAATGCAGGGAAATCTGTAGGGATTCTCGACATGTTCGACTTTGATATGTTCCTCGATCGATTGCTGATTAAGGAAAGTGCTACCACATCCATCAAATGGGCAGGGGAAGCGCTGTCGTGCCGTGGAACTGTGCTTGCGGGCAGTGTGAAGTCGCAAAACGGTGGAAGTGGTAAATGTTTTTTGACAAATTTTGCAAACTGGTCGGACTCTATTTTTGTGATATATGGCGATGTGTGTCTTCCTGCTTCTAAAATTTTTTAAAGATTTTGTGCAAATCTATAAATTGTATTTTGTCAAAAATTAATATGTTGGAGGAGATATATTATAATTGGTATTGATATATTTTGCGTTAATTGACTTACCGGACACTTAACTGGAGCATTAGTATCATGCATAGTGAGGTGGGTGGCAAGGATATCTTTACTTTTGAAAGATTTGGAACAGTGTTTACACTTGACGCGTAGATTTTGTCCTGTCTCCATTGTATATTGAAAACTTAAAGTTTAAAATTATACTGATTAATATCAAATAGTTTTCCAAACCTTCGGGAACTATGGATTAGTTAGAATTTATAATTTTTGATTGGAAGGATTTTATGTAAACGAAATAACGGTCAACATGTGATGGTTAGTTTAGTGAGAATAGAGAGAGTTATGGGGACTCATTTTCCATTATGTAACCCGAAACATATCCTAGCAAGGTTGAAGAAAAGGCCTTTTTCATCAACCACTGTGTGCTACACATCGTTAGTTGGATTGTACATACCAGTAGTCAAACGAGAGCATATTTATAATGTGAATGAATCGCATATCCAAAGTGTTAGGGGTATATACGTATGCATACTCAAACGTATTAAGTACTTGCACGGTATGGAAGAAACCCTTCCAACTTCATCGTTAAAACGCAATCTTAACTAGAGGAACAGGATTGGGACAGCAATAAATTATTTATCTTATTGAGGATATTATATGATTTACATGTTAAAACATCTTTTACCTAAGTTCATTCCGTCAATACTAAAATTGGTTTGAAAGATAGCCATAATATATGTAAGATATATATATATATTTAATCTATGCAGTTTTAAAAAATAAAAATTATGAATGTTAATATTCAATGTTAATTACTGCTAGAAAGGATGAGATGGCATCGGCCCCGCTGTGTGCACGAAAGTGATGTCATTCGTTTACTTAAATGCCACATTTGCAAACTATAAAATTTATAATAATTACAGAAAATAAAGAGTATAATGTAGCACACAACTTTGTAATATTTATTTATTACCAACGAAAACCACAAATTGTACCTAAGACATTCGCTAATTCTTGAAAATATTTGTGCCTAGAAGACTACATATATATACTTCATTAATATTTTATAAACCCCAAATGTGTTGTGCCTTGCTGGAAGAATACATTATAAAATTTAACAAAGTGTGTATATTGTGGAAAGTATAATTGTGACCCTAGACCGATTAATATTCTTAACTTTAACACATGACCGAAATATACGAAGCATTCTATAAATTTTTAAGGTTAACCGATTTATGTAATGATAATAAAACAATGAAAAATTAATTTATAAAACAATTTTCCAAAAATTTAGCCAAACCTATGCGGCAATAAAAGTATCAGAACGAATTTGCAAAGTACCAATTTTTCTGATTAAAAGGTGAATCTGAATTTAATTAAAATACAGTGTGCATTAGCTAATTGGAATCGATACTTAAATTAAATCAAAATATTTAGTAGTAATCTTGAATTTATAGTTTTTTAACCTCTTACATCAAAAAAGATTTGTTCGCCTCAAGAGTATGTATTGAAGAAACATGTAGTTTCAGACTATGAAATCCAAGAAACTTTCACCCGCAGAAATAACATTCATATCTCTTCCCACCAATACCGTGACTTTTCATATGCTGGGCTAAATATGTTCTGGTGTAGCCAGCCCCCGATCTTGCCCAAATCTTTACCCGGGCAAGAAATTATGGCGCCCCATGCCGCTCGCGCCTTCCGCGCTCGCATGGCATTCTGGTATACATATATATTCCTTTAAAAATGTCTTGCGATATATATGAAACAAATAATTATATATTTTGTTCCGTTAAAAAATAAAAACAAAAACGGATAGTGGTTAAAAAGGGATATTCTTCTTCATGTAACAAAGTATGGTGTTTGATTAACTTCTCTTTTTTCGTACGTAAGTATCTACTAAATATCTGTAGTATCTCAAATACTACAAACATTATAACGTGATTTACAAAATAGATATGTCACACTTAGCTAAATAAAAAACAATTTAGAAATTGTAACAATGTTTTACAATTGCACGTCGCGGGATTTCATTTTATAAAATATTTCTATCGTATCTCTGAATTCAATTTTACGAGTTAACGCCCACTAGAGATAGTCGCAAAACCTCTCAGTGTTCCTAACTAATATTTAATCAATGCCTTGATTAGCTTAAGTTTTGAAAAACTATGTTCATCGCTTGACACTGTACATAATTGGAGAAGTTAAAAATACTTTAATATTAAACAACTTCGGAGAAGCCTTTTCCAGGTGCATGTAAATTAACAGTTTCAAGATGTCTATTGGAGTATTTTGATACATTACTCGAACTGAATGCTTAATAGACAAGTTTTCTTGATAAAGTTGATACCCAGCAATGCCGGAATGCTCCCTGTCAGATAAAAGATTGAAGATTGTTTCAGTGAATTAAATTAAGGATAATAGAAAATTCTAAAATTCATCAAATTATTCCTTATAATCTGGGGCGGCGATCACTACGAGACACTTCTCAAAGTGAAGGGCTTTCCGGATAGCCAACATGACTGATAGCCATATAAATAATGCCAAGTATTCCCTCGTACTTTACTCAGCCTTAGTTAAGTTTAAGTTAAGGGCAACCCGTCACTTACACTTAAGTCGTATAAACAATGAATTCTCCACTTAAACTTGACAAAGTGATACTTAAGTGGGCATCACGACTTAAGTCACACTTACTCCTGAAAATTCCACACATTTCATAAAATTTTTGAGTTTAAAAATGTCGGATTCCGAGAGTACGGTCGAATCAGAAAGTATTTACAATAGGTACTTCTTTCAGAGATGACACCTTTGACGGGTCTCGTTAAAAAATATCAAGACAGTCGAAGAATTATAATTTATTTTTTCATGGATAAAAATTGCTGATCAATTAAAACAAATCTATAGTGTGCAGTGTCAGCCCGAGTCAGGGTTTGTATTTTGTCGACCAGTTCGATAATTTTGCAGCAGATTACTGTTGAACGTTACGTCCTTCATGAGTACATGACACAATTTGGTGAGAATGTATTAAATTTCGTCTTTCTACCACAACCTTTCATAATCGGTGTCACAATTATGATTATTAAAAAAATACATCGCTGTAGCTGTAAGTCGTTAACAATCTCCATACCAGATTTCAGCTGAGTTGGGGGATTTTGTAAAAACAGTACGGGTGATCCTAAACGATACATCTTGGTGGAAATATTTTCAATTTCACATCATTTTCTTTAATTAGAAGCCATTAGACAGCTCCAATCAACTTTCAAGCTTCGAAGATAATTTTTGAAAATCGGTGGGGGTCACCCCATCGGGTAAAAATACTTTTTCCATTCATATTGATTTCTGTACCAGATTTCAGTTTCGAGCACTTTGGTGCACAATGCTCACCTACATTTATGACCCCCACCGGTCAATCATTCGGCCGATTTGGCTCATCTTCTAACTTGACCCGTATTTTCATCCCATAAACATATCGTGACAATTTCAACCCGATCGGATTAATTTAAAGAGAGTTGTCGATAAACCGACAAGTTGAAATATTCCAGGAGAAATAATCCACGGAATTTTACCGGTCTCGTAATCGTACCAAAGGGATCTTATCAATCCTATTTCGTCGTTCGATTCGTCTCTCGAACATTAGAAATTGTTCAAAGCTCATTTTGGCACTACTTTGACATTTTTTGCATATAAAATTTCGTTAAGTGGGGGTTAAGGGTACCCCCTAGCCACCCTCAGAATTTGGAAGAAAACATAAGTTTTAAGTGTGAGGTCGCACTTGACCTTAGCATTATTTATACCGAACTGAAAATTAAAGTGTAAGTTAAGTGAAAGTTGAGTAAAATTTTAAGTTAAGTGTGAGAATTCATTATTTATACGAAAAGGTCAAAGTTGAGTGCTCACTCACACTTTACTAACCCTTAACTGGTATTGTTTATACGGCTATGAGACATTCAAATCTTTCCAACTTTGCGACTAAATTTGAAGCTTTGTAACTTTCGTTGTCAAAATCAATATTTTCTGAAATTTCGATCACGGCATCTAGAACTTTAGCAATTTAACGAGAGGGTGACGACAGAAAATATCCCACCTATACCTTAAGCTACTTGAAAATTTATGCAATTTCTGAACCATTCCTACATAAAAACTCTGACTGATTTTGCAGCCTCACCAACCACGAGACTCTTATTGTGTGAGACGCATTGACTGTAAATTTCTCTCGGATTCAGATCCCAACCAGTGTATTCGATGCCGGGTTTTTGTGAGGGCTGGGTTTTTGGGTTTTTGTGGGTTTTTGGTCGCAAAAAAAGGGAAAAACCCACGTGAGTTTTTGTGTACTAACCTATAGTGTTCCGCTTGGGTTTTTGGGGTTTTGCTCGGGTTTTTGCTAGAAATGCATACTTTTACACGAATTTTGATATCAAAAATGAAGTATTTCAGTTTCAATAAGTTATTAAATACATTTTAGCAGAAGAAAAAACAGAAAAATGTAAATCTACGCAGCTTATGGGAGTTATTCTTTTACAATGCATTCCTTACGGATGATTTGGGTTTTTGTAAACATTGATATTTTTACAAGTATTTTGATATTTAAAATGCTTATTTCAGAAAGTTATAAGATTAATATAAACAAAATAATTAGCACAGAAACTGAAATGCGGGCAGGTTGTAGCAATACTGAAGTATACTCAAGTTATACTTTCACCTTGTATTCTTTATGGATGACTTCGAAAATTTAGTTATTTTGGAATAACTTTGGTTATACTTATCGGATCGCTATAATTAGACCACCGTTGTTTCTAATTTTTCGAGATGTATTAATTAATCGTGTTTCCGGTGTGTAGCATTTTCCCTCAAAAACAGCAAAAACACAAAAGCCCAAAAACCGCAAAAACTCACGAAAAACCCATGGGTCGGGGTTTTTTAGGAAAAACCTCGGGTTTTTCCGAACACTGATCCCAACTCACTTTTTGGACACTTTCAATTTTTCGTTTCATTTTACTGTCGTATATTTCACCTGGTCCCGCAGGCATTTTCTTGCCAAGCGACTATAGCCGTCCGTCGTTTAACGGGGATGCTTTAATTCAGCGACAAATGTCGTCTTTCGTCTCCATGGGTCGGTCAAAAATTACATCGTCCCTCAGGAAATTTTTAAAATACGACAATAGTCGTTCATAGCCAAAAAAAATTTTTAATTTAGTACTCGAATATTTATTTGCTAAATTTAAACACAAGTTTCGTCTGTTGTCAAATTAAGGTATTATCGTAAATTATGTTGGCATGCAATTATACCTAGTGTAAACCTGGGCGCCTCCCGGCGCCCCAACTCTGGCGCCCCGGGCAATTGCCCAACTTGCCCAGCCGTAGATCGGGGCCTGGGTGTAGCTCCTGTATCCGCACTGGTCACAGTAATCCAGGCGTGAATCTGGCGATGGATGTTTCGCTTCGACGTGTATTTTCAACCTACGCGACGCCGTAAATTTCTTCCCACATGTTGAACATTGCAGTCTCTTCTTGTTTTCACACGATTTTTCATGAAAAATCTGGATGTGACCGTTTAGGCCGCGTTTGCAGAGGAAGGTCTGGGTGCAGATAACACACTTGAAGGACGCAGGGATTTCTCCATATGACAGACCTAAAAATTATATCAAGCACTTTTAAGATTTGGCAGTTTGGGAACGTGTTTATCAATTACCTCATGTTTTCCCAAGTGAGTTTTTGTTGCGAAACTCTTCCCACAGGTGGAGCACTTGTATGGCTTTTCCTTCGTGTGAGAGTAAATGTGGGATAAAAAGTTCGTTTTCCGTTTGAATTCTTTCCCACATAAAATGCAGGAAAATTTGTAGGGATTCTCAGCATGGTCAATTTTGATATGCATTTCGACATAATGCTGATCAAGGTAGGTCTTCTCACATCCATCAAATGGGCAGGGGAACCGTTTTCGTGTGCCTGAACTGTGGATATTGACGGTATGAACTTGCAAACCTGTAGAATTGCGAAATATTTTGTGACAAATTTTGCAAGTAGGTCGGACTCGGTTTTTGTGAAAGCTTGCGACGTGTGTTGTCAAGCTGCTGGCATTTTTGAAGGACTTACAGCAAATCTAAGAATAGTAATGTGCACTGTCAAAAGTTAATATATGCCTTCTCGAGAATTTAAGTATTACCGTTAGAATATACTTTAATTGACTTACCCCACATTTAACTTGTGCGTCAGGATCATGCGTTTTCAAGTGAGTTACAAAGTGTTCCTTCCTTTTGAAATTTTTGGAACAGTCGAAGCGACCCGGATGAGTTGTCGCCATTGTCAGTTGAAAACTTAATATTTAAATTGAAACGATTAACGTCGAATTGATTTCCACACTTTGGAGAATTATGGATTTGTTAGAATTTTAATTTTTTGTCGGCTGGATAAATGAAATACCGGTCAACGTATTCTGGTTAGTGGTAGAACAACGGAAATTCACTGCCTTCCAATGATTCCCAAAACATATCCGAGCAAGGTTTAAGGGAAGGCCTTTTCTCAACTATCACTGTGTACCACCATTCGTTGGGCCCGACATACCAGTAGTTAAACGAGAGATATTTACATACAATGTGCATCGTACATATACTACCTTCTTTGTATATCAAAAATATGAGGAACCTATACGTTTACATACTCAATCTTATTAAATTCTTACACGGTATAGAATAAACCCTTCCTTCGTTTGTCTGGAAAAGGCACGATTTAGCAAATGAGGTGTAGAATATATCCTACCATTTTCTGTACGGGTGAATTCGAAGTTATTTTTAAAAGGCAGAGTCGAGACGAAAAAAAAGTCATATCAGTTTAGAAATGTCGTCAACTGAATAGTATCTGTTCTAAGGAGTGATAAAATATACTTTAGTGGTCAACAATTCCGTCTCTGGTGATGGAAAGTTGGCTAAAAGTTGTAGCCCACAACTATCCCAATATTATTTTATTTCAATCTATAATCCAAGATTTATGGAGGACTCATGAGGCGTACATGTTGGTGTATTCGTTTATATGTGTTCTTGCAGTTTGAACCTTTTCTATAAACAAATAATGTTTACTCATCAGCGATAATGGATCCAATCTTCCTGACTTTGTTAAATATAAATATGTTGCTTCCAACGGTATTAAATGTGCTCCAGAATTTAAGACTATCATTTAACCGGCGAGAGAGCGTAAAATAAATACTTTAAAATCAAAACTGTTAACGGATTCAGGAAAACGTCGTACAGATTAGACAAACGTAAAAAATTTCTTTGTAATCGAAATAAACCGTTGCACATTAGATAAAGCTCGCCCTGACATACATTTTGACAAAATCTGAGTCCGAGAAAATTATGTGGTTCTTTTGAACTGTTGGTGCAAAAGAGTCAAAACTATATAATCTAATCATTTTGTCAGATATTTGTTATAATATAGAAATTATGTCAAAATTTGTCATCTATTTTTTCCAAATATTCTGCACCATTGATGAATTATCCAACGATTTCTTCAATTATTTTCCATCAATTTATCCTCCAATTTTTCTTACCCAATGGTGCTAAATGCCTGTTTAAAATCAAAACGGGGGAGATTGTAAAGCGCCAACTGGCGGAGGAAACATAGGAACACACCGACGGACACAGCAAGCTCCCATGCTTCGCCGGGAGAGCTAATAATTTGTTTGATTAAATCCTACCATAAAATTATTTCCATTATCTTACTTTATACAGTTGATTATTTACAGCAAAATGGAACCTGAACAGGAAATCCATTTCAATGCTCCTACTGTACAAAATCTTTCAAAAATAAGCATCTTCTTACTGATCATGTCAGTAGGGAATTTTTCCACCGCCAGGTTCGTCTTATATAAGTGAGCGTTCAGCGTCCAGTTTTCCTGACATGTAGATTTGTGGGCTGATTCCGCCCACTCTCTACAGGCTTTGATTCGGTGCGACTTCCATGACCCGAATTCTGGAACTTTTCGTCAGAGGTTGTTACATAGGTCCATATGTGAAATAGTCCGTTTGAATCCCCTCCTATGCCACTCCAATCATTGCTGATTTAGTTTTAATCAGTACATTGTTAAGAGTGCAACCCTTTGAATCCGTATGTGCAGTGGCTTATGTGCTAATAGACATTCCAGACTTGCAGAGGGCGTACTCTTTATGGATCCAATGGTTGCTAACATAGCTGTCCTCTGTACCCTTATTTCTTCATTTACTTATAATATTATGTATGTATAATATTATGTATAATAAGTAAATGAAGAATGCACTGACTTATCATTTAGCGACATGTGGGAGCGGGGACGTAACTTTAAGTTGGTTCTGCTGTGGTAATTTTTTTATAGTTTTCATTTCATCGATTAATTTTATTTTTATTTTTCGGGTTCTGTTAATTATTAGTCACAGTAACCTTGGTAGTTAGTTGGGGGATCCGAACTATTATAGCTACTGAGGTGAAACCCTGAGTTACTATAGCCGCGGTATACTGTATAGGTAGGGAGACTGCAATAAGCACTAACGTGCTAACGCAGCTGGGCTGACTCTGTCAAACCACCCTACAAAGTACATACACATACATTAGTCACAGTGCATATTTCTCTAATTTTTATAGGTTTATATACTGGTTAATGTGAATACATTATAAGCAATTTGGCCGTTCCCCACAAATATGTAGATGCTAGACTCAACACTAGTTTTGAATTTACGCCATAAAACTGGCCAATATAAAATATTAATGGCCTGAAGGTCTTTCTCTCCTTTTTCCAGGCTTTCTCTTATACGACGGAACTAATCGGTCCAATATTTTTAAAAGAGCGCAAAACCCGCCTGCTCGACTTGGTAAAGGAACCCGCCATTCCCATAATTCCGAGCCAACCAGTGCCAAATATAACAGAGTAGCCGACCATGAGAGGAATATCTAGGGCAGTGATGTCCATCCGATACTTGATCACAACGAAATTGCAAATTTGAACTGATCTGACAATCAGCGTTTGAACTGGCATGACGAATGGACGAATCCAATCGGTCATGATGATCCAAAGGAGAGACAGGCTTCTATAAGCGAGTCTAGTGTTTTCTGAAATACGAAGATATCCATGACTTCGGTACCTATTTTTTGGACTGGATCTGAAAATTAGAAATTATTCATTCTAACAGAAAGTCTTAACTGGCATAAATAATAAATCTTACTCGAGTTCATTAAGCACCCCATAGATTACAACCGCAAAGAGTAGAAATATTCCCAGATTGTAGATAATAGCTGTTCCAAGTGCAAATATAAAAATAGCCGCAGAACATGCATGGCCCAGAGCGAAGATTGAGTGACGAAATTCCAACGGCAAGTGGGTAAGAACAAAGAAGGGTTCGTATGGAAAAGTCACAGCAAAAGTGAATACGGCCATGCCGTATGACTTGCAACAAAGTACGGCTATTCGTAAAGCGGATGAAATACTTTTAGCGATTGGTATTGGCTCAGATTTTTCTAGTTTTAAAAAACTTGCTGCAAAATAGTATAAGTTTCAGCTACTTAGAACAATATCTATACACAATTTTATTATTTACCTGAAAACCATGACTCAAATTTCAGCACGGAGTTAACCCAAGATTTAATTTCTTGTTCCTTTAGAATATTGCTGATTAACAGCATGACTGGTAGTAGGCCTCCCACCAGAATTACGACAAATCTGGTATACATGTATAGTTGTATGTTCTCCAAATAAGCATAAATCAGAACATAGAGCAAACTTCCGAGATAGACCAGCCATCCATACACGATAAGTGCAAACCTGCCCAGTGCAAAGTACGACTTGGTGACATAAATGCGACGTTTTTTCTCATTCCAGCGAAATGGTAACGCACCCAATAACTTGGCCCATTTCATAATGGAGGTGAAAGTCGATATCGTTTCTTCCAGGATCATAGTTTGCTTTTTAGGTTTTTTTGACAGCTTCATAATTTCTAAATTTTTCTAATTTCTCTTTTGTTGTAGTGGATGGTATTTTGGTGAATGTTAAATCCGGTATGTGCTAAAAAAGTATCCGTCTAAGTAAGAAAATGGGGACAATTAGTCTGCCGTATGGCCGAATTTAGACAATAAAAACCCAATTTATTGTTAACCTGGTTAACATGCAATTACTTTGAGACCTATTTTTTGACAATTAATCAAAAGTTTTAAATACACGAAATTAATTAGCTTACCAATTTACTTATTACTGCCTGCCAAGCAAGTTTTAATATAGGTAGATGTTATTTGTTGCTTTCAAATGTGATATTCCCAGTGAACCAATGACGCTAGTTTCGACCTCATTGCTGGGTCCATAGCTCTCCTGTCTTAATTTCTAGCTATATTAATATTGGATATTAATATTTACAAATATGAAGGTTACTTTGTCCGTGTGAAATCACTGGGGTTGGTAGTTTGATTCAAACATGATCATACTAATGCCCCTACAATTTATTTACATCGGTCACCCATATTCCTTGGAGAACCATCAAAAGTTGAGGGCCAAATTACTGGAACTCTTGCTAATACATTTGCATTGATTTTTAAGTTTGCAACGTGGTCAAACAATCCTTGATACAATTCTGTTCTTAGTTCATTTTCTTGCAGTCATGTAAATTTAGATAATTGGCTGGCACAAAAAAGATTTTAGGTTCATTTGGACGTTCAGAATCAAAATTTTCGAAACAAAATTAACCCCAAATGTTATTTATTTCACCGCAGTGATTTTTGCGAATGCTATTTAGTTTAATGCTTCATCCCTTTATGTGGCTATAGTGTTCTACGTTAGCTTTATTTGTTGTCAAATCCACGAAACGAATAATTTCGTCCTACTCAGGAATTTCCATTCGACGCCTTAATCGGTGGTAGGCATCTAAATACTTAACGGCAGAATTCTACCCACATTTATTCCTGGATTGGTGAATTAATAAATGTACGTTACGATAAGCTTACATGGTCGACACTGGAGAGAGTTCTCAGATATAATGAGTACTCTGATTCACATGAGATAAATAGCTGAAATATGGCGAAATAGAAGTAAATGCGCACTGAATTTTTTTGAGTGAATGGAAAGTAACACAATTAATTATTAATTGGATCCAGCACCATGTACTGCACCTATTGAAAGAAATAAGTTAGTTGGATAGGTTGCCATTTATTAATGCAAATAGGTAACTAAATTTCTTCAAGTATATTTTGAACTCACAGTTTACGGCACAAATCCAGCCGGGGCTGGTTGGAATGATCCACCACACCTCGGGCAGCGAACCGCGAGAAGATCCCCAACATATAATTCCGCACGAGAAGTGCTGTTGCAGAGTGGACACGCGTAAGGAAGATCCTTCAGGTAGGGAGCCTTGGATAGAAGGACGTTCACCGTTTCCAATCCCTTTTCCTTGTATGCCTGAATTTCTCGGGATGACAAATCGGATTCAAGGAAGAATGTGTCGTAAAACTGCATGTTAAGCACGGCAGCATTCTCAACTCGGAAGTATCCTTGATTAGCCCATTTAGTTCCCCAAGAATTCATGAAAACTAGGGCATTAGGCTCGCATTTGACGAGGAGGACCGCATGTCCGCCGTACTGGCCAGTGTAGTTTTTACCAATATCTTTCGCCGTCAAAATTCCTTTCGGATTTTTCTCAAAGAAATCTCCAAAATCGTCCCATTGGTCTCTCGCTTGTGGATTTTTCCTCTGGATTAAAGCAAACCTTGCAACGATAGGTCGTCGCTTTGCAATCGCGGCCCTAGCTTCATCTTCCCCTGCCAAGTGCTCGCTGTGTAGACGATACTTTTTTGCATATTTTGCAAGAACATCCTTCGTGCTTGCTCCGTCTATGCCGAACTCTGCTACAATTTCGGCAAGGAGGTTTGTAAATGCTGGGTACCTAAAATATGATCGAGATGTGCAAATGAATTTTTTTATACGTATATTTGATGTCACCTACCCGCCATCCCTTCCCCCAAATTCGTAGCGTCGCCAAATGTATAGCTGCAGCGACTGCATTGGCATAACAAGTGCCACCAACTTGCTCGTTAGGCATCAGTTTTGACGATTCGATGCTGATGTACATGTCAACGGATACCCGACTGTATAGGTTCCACACTGCGCTTCCGCATCTAAACATTTGATTCACGACGGATGTGAATTCGTCCACGATTTCTGGGTTGTTAGCCTGAATGCAGAGACGACTTTGCCCTTCAGGCGAAAGTTCCCAACCATTTTCAAGTAGGATTGATAGCACAGAATTGCTATTGTCAACGGCTGTGCCGAGAGTGAACATTTCTTTGTGTGCTTTTGACCAGGTTTGATCTGGGTTGAAATATAATTTTTTTGGAAATGAAATATTTTCGTACGTAAGCAGTACGGAATAAACCATAACGTCTAAAAGCCCCAGTTCTATTGCATATGATGACGGTTTGCCGTCCGTTGCTTCCCCATCAGTTAAGATTAGCAAGACTTTTTCATCTTGGGTAGTTTTCTTAAACATGTCAATGGCTGTACATAAAGCTTGACACATTGGTGTGCCTTGATAAATATACGGTTCCACATCGTTCATAAGATTGTCCAGCTGTCCTTTTGTTAAACTAGACGTTTCGCCTGGTGCGACATCGTCTTTAACAAACGATCGGATTAATTTCGCGACATCAGTCAGGCTCTGCACCTTCGGATTGGCCAATATTGACAAAGCTTTTATCATAGCGGCGTTAACATTCTCTCTAGTTGCACTTTTTCGTCTATCTTCCACGGCAGTCCTGCTAAAGACTCTCAATTGGTTTGAGACAAATTCAAGTTTAGCCGCTGTTCTAGGCCAACCAAGGATTCCCAATTGGCTTGAGGCAGCTTCAAGTTTAGCGGCCATAGGAGCCCACAAAAGGAATGTCAACGGGTTTGAAACATATTCAACTGTATCCGTTGTAAACTCTGAAGCTTTCCACTTGCATTGAGCTGGCAGAGTCTCAACAATTTCTTCGACTTCGCGAAGCCTCTCTCTGTAGATCTCGTAAAAGAAGCTGGCTTCTTTCTCAGTAACGAATTTATTTATATATTCTTCGCAATTTGGAGCTCCATTTTCTGCTAACAGTCGAACTAATGATTCTTTTGGATTTGCTACTGCAGAATTTCTATGGTCGCTAAGGGTTTCTAAAATCTGAACCAGGTCAGCGCAAGTGTTTCCCAGTAGCCCGAATACAAGAACGAAGATCTCATTCTTCTTCGTCTTGTCTTCCTCCTTCTCGCAAATGTCAAGTATTGATCGAATCGTGTACTCTGCACGACTCATATCGTTGTCCGTTATGGACGTGTTAGTTCCTGAACATAACTTGCCCTTCATTGAGCCGGATACATCGAGCAGAATTCCAATTAACATTTTGAAACGCTTAGTTCCTTAGACGCTTAGAGAGAAGGTATAGTAAATTTACTTTTTTCTGAGGATTTTGATTAAGGTATTTTTGTAAATTTACTCGAAAATTAAATAAATAGACTTTATTTAGGATTAGTCGACAGCGATCTGCGGTGTATAAGTATGTGTATGCTGCTGTAAGTAAACAAAATTATCCTGTTGAAGTGTTATAAATATTTGTTGACTAATATTATTAACGTCATTATTTATTACGATTGAAAAAATCTCCATGAATTATATGTGAGAATAAAATTATGTTAAGTAAAGTGATTTCTTTTTCAGATAAATGCAAACTAGCACACTTCCGCACCTCTGTGCTGGTCCTACGTGCAGACTGTTGCGTCAATCGTGGCACCAGAGGTTATTCAATGCAAATTTACTGCTTATCCATACTTTTGTGTGATAAACATTGATAAGGCGACTTGAGTCACGTACTTCGCAGTAAATTTTATTTACCAACCAATTACACAATCACACCTTGCCTTTCGTTAACCATATAAATACGGACTGTCATCATTGCATATACAAACCCATGGACAGTTGTACGTAATTTTTATTAATCTAAATCACTCTGGATTCTGTTTGAGAATTTGGCGTTATCCCATATTTATTAGCTCGCCCTGCGAAGCATGGGAGCTATTGAACTTGTCGTGTCCGTCTGTCTGTCTGTCTGTCTGTCCGTCTGTTCCTATGTTTTCTCCGCCAATTGGCGCTTTACAATCTCCCCCGTTTTGATTTTAAACAATCATTTAGCACCAATGGGTAAGAAAAATTGAAGGACAAATTGGTGGAAAATAATTGAAGAAATCATTGGATAATTCATCAATGGTGCAGAATAATTGGGTAAAGTAGATGACAAATTTTGACATAATCTCTAGATTATGTCAACTTTTCATAACCTAATCCCATCCAATTCCACTCAATCACCGCAAATAATGAATGTTAATCTGTATATGATACGAATGTATTACTCACGGTTTTAGTCCGCAAAAACCTGCTAATATTCCTAGATTGGTAAAGTATTATGTAGCAGAATTAAGTAATTAAGGTTTCAAAGGCATGAATACTTAATACATCGACATCAATTACTAAAAACGACATTTTATCAATTCATTGCACATACTCACTCATATGATGGGTGCGCATATTTGCATAGAGGTAAAGAGAACATTTGCAGTTTTTGTAAAGAAGCAGAAATGAATAAGTTTGTCTAATTTTTAAAAGTCTCGTGAAAATGAAGCTAATATACTATAAATTTACAAATTATTGCTCACTACCGCACTTGATATAGAATGGAATTTTACAGCGACTTTTATTGGTTAATCTGTAACCTGTATTAAAAATAAGATTTTATTAATTTCTCAACTATGACGTCCTACAAGTCTAAAAGTTAGAGGTGTGTACAAAATTGATTTATCACTCTTAAAAATGGCTGACCTGTAGCACCACCAACTAGTTTTAAATACAACAACAAGATTAATTATAATTGACATGCATATTGCATATCTAATTATCATTCCGCCTTAATGAACATCCAGTGAATAAATTACATGTTAGTTCATATCGTAAGGAGTGTTAACTAATACTTCTCTAAATTAATTGTAGAATGAAAAATGGAATTTCCATTTTTCATTATGGAAATGATTAGAAATATATATGTACGTGAATTTGTTTTGCATAATACTTTTAATATTATAAGTATTCTAGTATAAGTATTTAATATTATAAGAATACTTGATTTATAATTTAGTTATAATTCTAATACAATTATAACAAAAGCCACTTATTAATTACTTAATTAGTTATATTTATCCTTGATTGAGAACCTGTATCAGTGAGGCATTAATGTTTGACTTAATTCTTAATATGAGGTTTAAAATAGTGCGTAATTTTAATATAAAAGTCTATAGATTTAGTAATTAAGTTTTATGATGCAATGATAAAAATAATATGCAATAAATATGCTAGAAGGTTACATGTTTTGTTTTCGTCACGATGAAGTTTTATTTTTACAAAAAAAAGCTCCAAGTGGTTCTGCGTAAAATATGTATGATGCTTTCTCGTCACCATTAGCAAATGACGCAAATAAATATACTTTATTTTTTACAGTCCAAAGTCACATACGAATGTCGTTTATCAACATCGTCATTCGATGAAGTACGTGGATTTACTCACGCACAACCAGGTATTATATTTATGTGCACTAAATAAAAGACCAAATTTCACGTAATTTAAATACATTTGTACTCAGTTATTGCAATTAGTTTAAAATGCATAATATGTCTCAAAATACGGTGTATATTTGCTTATATTCATTTCATTTGTAGTCAACTTTTTTTTACCTAATTTTGATTGTGTAACAACTGAAGCAATAAATTATTTATTGAAGTTTGATAAATTGGAGACCAGTTTGCATAAAGACAGGCAACTATAATACTTATCGACAATCTACCATGGATGAATATTCTTATACATATAGAACTTCTATGTAATTCTGGTCTGCCTTCGTCACTTCAAATTTTTACAAATAAAATTATTATTAAAACATTTTATTCTCGAATCGTCCATTATTAATGGGGAAAGAGATCAATGCATTTCCAACTTTTGTCAAAAGCGACTCCATATAAGAAATTCTAAACGAAATCTTCACCTGAATTAACCTATTTTCAAAAATACCGCCTTCAATACATATTGACCTAATCGATTTTACTTTTCTGCTGAACACTTTAATTGTCATCTGTCCAGCCCTGAACGACTCAGGAATGCTGTTTGCAAGATCACTACGCATAATATCTGTATTCTTGCCAATATGAGAAATGCATGATAATGTCTTGTCAATACCAAACGTTGCAGCTACCAGCCAGACTAGAAGGTTTCCAAACAAAACTGAATTTATATGATTTTCTTGTGAATGGGAGAAAAGAATAAACAGCATGTATCCCATGTAGATGTGGAAAAACCATAAAATCCCAAATCCTAGAAATATCATGGGCTGAATACCTGCATGCCCTATTTGAAGCAAAAGCTGTACATGAGCAAGATTAGTGAATATCTGATTTCTAAATAGGAAATGTGGTATTCCTTTAAATTGTTTATATTGCAAAGCATAAAATAAATAACAATTTCATAATTACAGACGCAAAATATGAAGTACCGGAGAAGTCCAGACAAGACTTGAAGATCGGTTTTGTTCATGTGCATAATGTAGTACATGGGGAGTATATTAACCAAGCCAACAAGGATTGATACAAATGTAGCATAAAACGAGAATAAGGCGAAGAAAAAATAAATACAAATATCCACGTACTCTCTTTTTCGGAAGGCCTTAAAAGTAATACGCTTTGGAAACTGTTCTGCGACGCAAACAATTAAAAAGACTTAGAAATTTAAACTTAATTGCATATCGTTCCCCCAATACCAAAATTACTTAATTTCCTAAGCCATTTTCAAATCAAGAATGGACGGCACTTAAGTCATTTAGAATTAGTTAAACGAAACTTAAATTATCTTCTAGTACCTGCTTTTAGTGCTTTTTCTGCTTGATTTGTGTAGTTCCAGCAGTCAACCAAACTGTCCCCGTATTGTATGAGTATCATTTTAAATGTTAATCCCAGAATTATGCAACTTATATGAAAAATATATAAAATCAACATCAATGGGCGATTTTGTGTAGTGACTACAGCACGATTTTTCTCTATTATTAGATGAATTGGTGGATACACAAGGCAGAAAATGGGGCAGAAGTCTGCGAAGATGGAGGTTTTTTTGGCGACGTCGTTTTTAATAAAAATTTTCTGGCCAGTTATATCCCAGCGGATTGGACATGTTTTAAACTTGTTGAGTATGGTTGAATTAAGTTCGAAAACTATGCATAATAAGGGAGACGACATGGCGAATGATGTTGGAAATAAAAACTACGGACATGACTAGATTGAGTGTGGTATATACATATGTAGTTGGTATTTATAAACTGGGCTAGGATTATTAGCTTCAGTTTGTTTTAATTAAGTCCATAGGTTTGACATTAAAGTTGTACTGGCACCAACTAAAACTGACAACTACGCAGTTATTTATATAGACACTAAATATTTTTTTATATGTAAACGGGTATGAGAATGATTGCCAATTACAATTAGTTCTGGGAATATGAAATTATAATTACTTCGTATGCCCAGTCTATATACATTTATTACCAAATTCAACACAGGGAGTGTCTGGGACATTTTTAGTTATTTATTTCACATTTAACCTTTTGATAATTGGTAAAATTGAGGTCGCCTTTTCTATCAATTACCTGAAGAATTTTTATTAATAGTTTTAAATGCCTGAAAGTGACAGCACGTAAAACAACAGAATAATATATGGTGTCGTTAGCTTAATAGCTTACTGGTTACAACACAAATATACGGCTAGGTATGTGCGACCATCTACAATTTCTTCGTCCATAGTTACCTTATCGGGAAGGAGATCAGCACATTTGCAGTTTTTGAAAGTAGAGTCTCCATGTACAAAATTCTTGTTTGTGGATTAATTAAAACTAATCGATTCCTAAGAAAACCAGCCTCCAGACAAATTGGTTTTATTGCTTTCACTTTCCGACGGAAAACCCTGCGCGTCCAGCTTCCAGACGATTTTGTAGCGATAATTTGACACATCTCAGCAAATATGAGACCTGTAACTTGACTAACTTTCACAATATATGAAAGCGTCCAGTCCACCGCAAATGTCAACATCACGGTAGAGGACGAAAGCCCAGCCAGAAGGACTCTCTTTTGAAGGCTATTATTTAATTGGGAATAACAAACAAAGGTTATATAAGCAGTAGCGATGTTAATTGTAAACCACATTGCAAAACCTATAACAGCTAAGGGCTGTATCCCATCATTCCCAATCTGAAGAATAATCTTGACTTTGATTAGTGAAGAAAAAAGATACTTTTTCCTAGTAACTCCGGCGGTTCTCGCATTATTTAGTAAACATTTGGATAAATAGGAGTTCAGCATTTTAAGTATAGTTATGCCGATGAGGGATACAGGAAGGAATCGAGTGACTACTTCGTAGTTGCACACAAGCAGCACGAAGAAACGTAAAATGTGCCAGGCCACCTTAACCCAGAAGTTTCCATGGATTGGTATCAAATAATGGAGGTCAATAGCTGCGCCTATAAGTGCAGAAAATAATGTGTACGTCATGAACCATATTGGCACCACCAAAATGCAGATATCAAAGATGTTGTATTTCCAAACACAGCAATCCTGCCGTGATTCTGTGATATAAAAATTATCTGATTAGATTACTTTTTATCAATCCATGGAAATATTAAAGAATTACCAATTTTTGATGTAAGTTCGGCTTGATGTATATAATTCCAACAGACTATCAAACTCTGTCCATATTTTGATACGATCCATTCGAAAGTCAGCGAAACTAAGGATATATTGACTTGAGCCATGAGGAGAAGTGCGTCAAAAGTGTGAGGCTTTACTAGCCAGAAATAATCTGGATATCTCAGGTAAGCCATGGTAATCAAGGGGAAGGATCGCATGACAAAATTGGCAAAATAGGTTTTATTAGGAGTCACATCGCTATTATTAAAGTATAGCTTTTTATGTTTTTGGTCCCAATGAATTGGGCAGGTTTTGAATTTATTGAAAAAATTTGTGTAAATTGCAAATGCTTTATACAACAGGGGAAAATACATTTGGGTAATTTTTGGGCTTCACGTACGACTCGGGGCAATGATATTTGCTTGCGAGATAAACCTGAACTGAACATCTCGAATTTCTCGAAACATTCTTTATAATTATGAAACCCAGCTGCATTTTGAGGTAAAGGTTTTCCATAATAATAGAGAAACTATGTGCTTGTGGATAAACGATTTACCGTGAAACTAATTACTTCATCTGTGTTCTTCGTCTGGTCTTTTTGCGTGATCGTAATTTTAAGCACATTAACTCATTAAAGCTAGAAAAATATGTTACTTACAAGTTAAAGTGGCTGGACAATTTAATGTAATTGCAGTACGGCTACAGACATTTAATTGCATGCAGTTTGCTGCCCTTTAACTACGTTAGGTTACGTCAGCCAACTAATTCTTACGTAAATACGTTGTACATGTGTTGTATAAACACATATATTTTATAAATTAAACTTAAAACCATAAAATCCCAAATCCTGGAAATATCAAGGGCTGAATCCCTGCATGCCTTCTTTGAAGTAGAAGCAGGACATAGTGAATATCTGATTAGTGAATATCTAATTTCTAAGTAGGACAGGTGGTATTCCTTAAATTGTTTATAATCCTGAGCATAAAATAAATATCGGTGGAGAATTTTTAATATAGTTCCCCCATGAGAGAAATTGCACAGAAATAAGTGACAATTTCATAAGTGCGGACACAGAATATGAGGTACAGGAGAAGTCCAGAAAACACTTGAAGATAGATTCTGTTAACGGGAAAAATGTATTGCATAGGATAAACATTAACCATATCCAGAACAATCGATATAAAGACTGCGTAGAACGAGAATAACGCAAAGAAAAAAATGCAGATGTCCACGTACTCTCTGTTTCGGAAGGCCTTAAAAGCAATGCGCTGTGAACTTTGTTCAGTGACGCAAGCAATAAAAAATAGTTAGAAAATTAAACCTAATTACATATCGTCCATGCATTCTAAAATTACTTAATTCCCTAAAACATTTTCAAATTAAGCATCGGTGACACTTAAGTCATTTTCCAATTAGTCCAACGATATTTAAATTTTCTTCTTGTACCTAATTTTAGGGCTAATTCGCACTAATAAGAGAAATTGTGCTGAAATAAGTAGCAATTTCATAATTGCAGACGCAAAATATGAAGTATCGGAGAAGTCCAGCAAACTCTTGAAGATCGGTTTTGTTCACAGGCAGAATGTAGTACATTGGGACAACATTAACAACTCCGACAAAAATCGATATAAATGCTGCGTAGAACGAGAAAAAGGCGAAGAAAAAATAAATGCAGATATCCGCGTACTCTCTGTTTCGGAAGGACTTAAAAGTAATACGCTTTGGAGTTTGTTCTGCCATGCAAGCAAGAAAATGTAGTTAGAAAATTAACCTTAATTGCATATCGTTGGAAAAAATAAATCTAAAATGACTTAGTTGCCTAAATGATTTTCAAATTCAGG